TCCCCCCCCCCCCCCCCCCCTCGGCGCAGGTCCTGCCCCCTCGGGCCCCATGCCAAGGGCGGGCAGCAATGGGGCCATTGTTGGGCTGTGCTGCGCCGCCTCGCACCGCGCCGGCCCCGCCACACTGCTGCCATTCTCTGGGCTGGGGAGTGACGCTGGGCGGGAGGGGGCCATGGCCGAGCGCCCCCCACATTCCTCTCCCACTCACGGGCTTGTTTAGCGGGACTGGGGCTCGCGGGTGTCACAGTTTGGGCGCCTGTGTCCCATCCCACCCCGGCGGGGTGCGCGGGGCTCCCCTGGGCTGGTGCCATGCACGGGGCTGGGGACAGGCCACCGGGGACCCTTGCACCGAGGGACAGAGGCAGCACTCCCCAGGGACCTCAGCTGCCTGTCCCCTGCCCAGCAGCTGCTCCTGCCAGACCCGGGGCTCCGCTGGAGCTGTCTCTCCTTAGCAGGGGAGACTCACCATCCCCACCCCACCCCGGCACCCCCTCCCCGCAGCCCGATGATGCAGGACCCCCAACCGCAGCGCACAGGGGTCCTGCATGGACCACCGCCTGTCCCGCCCCCGGCTTACCTGAGCGCCCCGGCTGCTTGGCCATGGGCAGGGAGACCTTGGTGAGGGGCAGGACGTAGACCTCGGGGCCATGCTGGGGGGCGGGCGAGCCCTGAGCCGAGAGCTCCGTCACGTAGTCATCCCCCTCGGCGTTCTCAAACTCCTGGGCCGGGGGGCACGTGGGGGGGCACACACCGAGCAGAGACAACTGACCCAGCGGGTTCCCCGCTGCCGGCAGCCTGCCCCACACACTGCTCTGCCCGCCGCCCCGATGGCCTCAGCTGCACCCCACGCATCACATACCCCCGGGCACGGGGACCCCAGAATCACACCCTCCCGGCGCACAGCCCTGCCTGCACCCCGACGGCAGACACCCCCCCCATGGGGATGGACCTGGGGCAGGCACCCATTCCCCACCGCCCTGGCACCCTGTCCCATTACCTGGCTGCGCCATCCAGCCAGCCCCCAGCTCCTGAAAGCCGCTTGGGCGAGCAGGTAAGCGATGGTGAGCATCTTGCCCTGTCCCTGCCCAGCCCTGCCTCATGGTGCTGCCAACCGCGCCAGCAGCGCTGCCCCGCGGCGTGCCATACACCGCGACACGCCGGACACAGGCAGCGGCTGGCCCCGGCCGTGCACCCCTATATAGCCATCGCGGGGGCACGAGGGGGTTCATTGTTCCCCTCCGGCACGGTGAGGTGCTCTGGCCAGTGTGGGACGGTTACACAACGGCCCGGCGTGTCCCCCCCCCCGCCTGACCCCCTCCCGCCGCGGGCGCCACAAGCCTCCACAAAAATCCCAGCAATTAGGGAAAAACCATTTCTCGGCACATTCTGTGCCTGTGAGGTCAGGGTGCCTCCCACCCCCGGGGGCGTGCGGGTGGGACCGCCGCAGCCCTTAACCATGCCGTGACCTGGCCCCACACAGAGCCAGGAGCCCAGCTCGGTCAGGATATGACCTGCAGTGATGCTGAGCCCCACAGCATCCAGCATCTGCACAGACTGGGGATCCTGGCTGGGTCAGGATACGTCCTGCAGTGATGCTGAGCCCCACAGCATCCAGCATCTGCACAGATTGGGGATCCTGGCTGGGTCAGGATACGTCCTGCAGTGATGCTGAGCCCCACAGCATCCAAGCTCTGCAGAGCAGGGAGCTTGGCTGGGTCAGGATACGACCTGCAGCAATGCTGAGCCCTGGCAGCACCCTGGCAGGCAGAGGAGCTGAGCTCCCCCTGAGCAACGCTATCCTGAGCAGGGACACATCCTGCACCGGCGCTGGGGCTGGCCCTGGGAGCAGCGGGGGATCCTGCACAGGGATCCTCTGGGCACCTCTGTCCTTCACTGGGCTCCAGGGGAGAAGCCCCCCCCCCGGTCCCAGGGCAAGCCTGGCCTGGGGAGACCCCCGTGCCCCGCATCCCCATGTCCCCAGCTCACCTTGAAGCCGATGTCCCCCTTCTTGCAGCACAGGCAGGCCAACATGAGGAAGATGAAGGTGAAAAGCCCCGAGAAGGAAAAAGCCACGAGGGC